ACTTCCAACTCTTAAACATATGTGAATGAAGTTTGCTCCATAGGATCATAGGGCTGTTGTGGAGCTACCTAGTGCTTGTTTTAACAAGTGTGCACCACACCTAACTCACTAGACTCATATAGGTCAAGCTACCCGTCCATACCCCCCTTAATAGTACGGCCAAAGGAAAAATGAAGTCCTAAACTACTGTAAGTGTCGCTCCAACTCCAATCGACACTTAGAACTAGTCATCCTTAACCTTGTCGTCCATCCTTTGAAAACCAAAACGATTTCCATCGTAATCGATCTCCATTACCATGACCTAACTTAATCGCCTCTGCAAAACACACGTTAATCATAGTAATCTTGTATTGTTATTTATCACCGAAACCCAACTAGGGGCCTAGATGCTTTCAGTAATAAACTTATTTGAAGATATAAATTTTGCACGTATTTTCTACAAAGCTAGTCAAAGTTGAGAAAGTTTGACCAGCACGATTCCCATAACGACTCTTTTTAGGGACATATTGAGTATTCACTATGTATGAACAATGATATCAGATGGATTTCAATAATGTGATGGCATGATCTTCCGAGACTATCACATTATGGTTTCTTCTTTGGATTTCCCTTCGAGGAAATCGTGGACCATTTCACTGCCCTTCATTTCCTATAATTGAGCGAGGTTTAACAGAGAAACAACTCTAACACTGAATATGAGTTGTGAAATTAAGCAAGGCTGCAAAATGTATTAGCTGTGCATATTCAGAGTTCAAAGATTATTCAAGGAGTACCTGTGTGTAACTATGTCCAACATAGCTCCAAAACATCCGTGGGCAACGCCATCCTAGAGAAAGTTGGTAGTTTTGCATGGATATTAGAACCATTTACATAATATAATGAACACAATTAGTTCACGGATAAGTTTATGACACTGACCTGAAAAGGTACAGGATAGAAAAAAGAGGCTTGTTGGAATAGCAAACAACAAATGCAGTGAAATATATCCTGATCTTGAAATACCTCCCGAAATAGCCGTCCTAGAATGTTGAGTCCAATAGGATTCAACTTTCCACCTACTGACCACATGCTAAAAAGCAGATTGTTTAATAAATTGTGTTGTTAGTCAAAATACGAACTTTAAGTTACCGACTTTCAACTTACGATTCACACGTTAGAAGCCATGTATTAATGAAATTATCCATAAACGGGCAACCATTCAGCTTACTAATGATGCTAGAGATGTACAGTCAAACTAATTGGTACAGAGAGCGACTTAGGTGTTTGGGACTACTTCACAAACTTTGCTCCACAAACTCCACTGTGGAGCAGCTTTACAAAAAAATTGGAGTTTGTTGAACACCTCTTTAGGTGCTCTCACAACTCCACCCTTTTTCCTTGAACAGAGTGTGCGGAGCCAAAACCGTTTGGCTAAAAAATGTGGAGCGATGCTAAAACATAGAGCGAAGCAGTCCCAAACACCCCTCTTATAGTTTCCATCCAACCAAGGTCAAATATTGTCTTCATGTCGTTAAAGTTGAATGCAATTGTTCCAACTGGGCCTCCAAATGTCTTCTCCATGAATCTTGCGCTTATCATATTCAAATTAGTCACAAGTGCATAGCCGTTCTTAACCTTCAGGATGAGCAACTCAAGCACAAAACGTAGCACCGTCCAGTGTGTCGGAAAACCCTTTTCGACACCATACACTCTCATTCGCTGCTCTTTTTTACTCTTTCCAAATTTTCAAGACATTTTGCGCTCTTGAGTATCACCTTTAGTCCCATGGCTCGAAGCACTTCCTCCAAATAATCACCACTACCTTCATCCCCCTCATGTCTTCCACCTTCATTGAGACCATCTTTGTCCCCCACACATCGTTAATGATCATTGCCACTAGCTTCATCCTCAATAGCCCGACCACCACCACCTTGTTCACAGGCACTCAACACTTATGCATCAAGCTCAACTATAAATGCGTCAATGTAAGTGTGGTCATCTTCTTTCATATTTTCTCCTCGGTGTCTCAACGGCAATGGGTGTTTCACCGTGATGTATCCAAATTGTATAGTCCTTCACAAAATCTCACACAATCAAGTGTGATCTAATGACAATCACATCATTCCATGCGAGATGGTTCTTGCAATTCCTACACGGAAAAAGAATTTTGAGAATTTTGATTTTGTTCTTTGTCGTCATTGAATGCTTCTCTGTGGCTTCAATAATCTATCGACTTCTTCTCAGAAACCTGGCTTCCACCTTATTGAACCATACATTTTATGAGTTCTTGTACTCCATTTTTTTAGTAAAACGATCAACAAAGCAAAAAAATAAAAAGACTAAGCTAGATATAAGAATCATTAACAACCTAGAAGAATATAATTAGTATATAACAATATAATTGTGGAAGGTCATTCTTATTTAAAATTATACATTATATTGTTCAACTTTTTTAATCATGTTGTTGTCATAAACTACACATATATGGACTACATATTCTTCATACAAGAGAGAGAATAAATGACCTAATTAACCAACTAATGTACCACTAAACAAGTATTTTTTTACTTTTCTTAATTGAAATGAAACAATTTTAAAGAAAACAATAGCACCAATTAATATTGTACCTGTTATTGCTCGCGTAAACTTAATCATGTTTACTAAAAATATAATATGAATGTTGACAATAAAAATCTAATCCCAAACCCAAAGTCTACATCTAGATCTAGATGCAAACCAATCCCTCCCTAAAAACTAACAAATAGGCTACAAAAATCAAGACATTGCCACTAAATAAGGATATAATCTTGTTTCCTAATGAACTTATCCTAGTACCTTCAAAGATTTGATATAATTCATCCATAAATGTCACAACCACCATGGAAAAGAGAGAAAATCAAAACCCTAATTACACACTAATCTACTACTAAAACTTCAAAACGAGGCTTGGAAGAGCATTTACTTACCTTTAAAGCCTCCTCCACCAAAGAAATCAAAATCAAAACATTCCCCCTTAGATTTGCAATTTTTGGCAGGTAGCCCAAGGCTTCCCTTCCTTCTGCCTTGAGTTATAGTAAATTTCTCGAGGTGGAAGGAGGGGCAAGGAGCTGCTACTTGTAGAGACGGCTCTATATACAACCGCCTCTATAAATATTCAGATGGCAGCTCCCTAACCAATCTCTACAAATGGATCTTTAGATGCGGCTGGTGTTACCCAGCTGCCTCTGAAAATCTCATTATTTTTAGAGACGGCTAGTAATGCCGAGCCGTATCTAAATATGTATTTGTAGAGGTAGCTGGCTAGGGAGCCACCTCTACAAATACATCTTCAGAGGCGCCTTGCTTTGTCGGGCACTACTGAGGCTCCTCTGCCCAAAATTTCTCCGGTTGCTAAAAGTCGATTATGTAATGGATTATATTAGATAAAAAATTGCATGTCTTTTGTCTCTAATACTCCCTCCATTTCAAATTATAATTCGCTTTGACTTTTTTTTTGTACGTCCATTTTACTATGTATCTACATAAATAATATGTCTAGATACATAGCAAAATGGATTAATTAAAAAAGTCAAAGCAACTTATAATTTGGAATGGAGGGAGTTGTTTGCACACCTCAGGGATCCCTTCTCTGTGGTCATCTTGAGCTTTGTAATAGAAGCTAAAACCAGAGCTAGTGCGTCCTCTAAAGAGAACCTACAAGCTTATTCATGGAAGATAAAGACGATGTGATTTTTCTGATTGGAAGATAAATATATTTAATAAACCCGCAACTCAAAGGAAAAAACAGAGAAGCCCAGCAGATGCATCAGAAGACCCAGACAAATGCAATAACTCAAAATACCATTTTTGGAAAAGTGTTAAAGTCTTTAAAAAACTTCATTCATTAGATATAACATGACATTGGACGGTTCCGTAGAATGCGTGAGAAATAACGTGTCTATAAGTGGTACATGTTTTTTTGCCAACCATGGCGAGCTAGTTGTACAATTGTCACTGTTAAAATATATAAGCACGAGGAATTAACTACCAAAAATAATCATTAAAAGTTCAAGTTATCGATTGAACTATGACAATTCACAAATCTTAAGGATATATTTTTCAGCTATGCAAAAGTTGTTTGGATCTATGTGGTATGTGGCTACGAAACCTGCCCTTTATGTATCTACTTTCAAACAGCTATGAAATATCTCTCTTGTACCGTGCTTTTAGCTTTTGAATTTCTATTTTTTCAAATAGGTGTAAATAGAGAGATGTTTCACAACTATTTGATTGAAGAGAGATAGAGAGATGGGAGATAGATTTTATAATTGTTTCAACAAAAAAATTATGACTTTTTCATGATATATAGCATTTTTACATAGCTCACGATAGTTTTTTCACATATAGCTCTTAAGCGAAAGAAACTGACTTGTAAGTCTGATGACGCTTTCCTAACTAGCATCGTATATAGCATCAAAAAATATTCATTAACATTCTTACTCACTGTATGCAATTACATGTTCCTTAGTTCTAAGAATAGCAAATCAAAATTGTCGAAATTTTTGCATTGGCCTGTTATATGGTAGTGCAAATTACAATGGAGGCCTCCACTTTTTGATAGCAGGCTTCCTTTGCGAGTCAAATTTAGGGTATATTTGAGACATTTACACGAACTCTGCTCCACAAACTCTACCGTAAAGTAGCTTCATAAAAACCTATAGTTTCTCGAGCACCCCCTTTAGAAGCTCTCATAACTCTATTTTTTTTTCTGGAGTAGAGTTACGTGAAACTTAATCTATTTGGCTAAAAAATGAGGAGCGAAGCTGTAGATACTTAGAGTGGGCCAAACATCCGGTCCCAGTCTCCGAAAATGTCGCCACTCCGCATGTCTTGTCGCCTCGCAATTTCCTCCAAACCATGCAACCATCTCTCTCCCTTTCTCTCGATCAACGGGCTCGTGAGTGTGGAACGTGCGATCAGCTTGCAGCCATGGAGAGGCGCATGCCAACGCATAGCTAGCCAGGGAACGGGCACCCACATGCATGTCGTCGTCCTGGTCATCGGCGTCGAAGACACCCGTCAATTCAACGAGGCGGCCGTCGAGCGGGCGCCTCCCGAGTATCTCCAACGACGTAGACGTCGACGACGAGCCGGAGTTCACCTCCACCATGTCCGGTGGCGGCAGCGACTATGCCAACTACACCGTCCTCATGCCGCCCACCCCGGACAACCAGCCCTATAGTGTCGGCGGCGGTGGAGGCGGAGCGCCGTCCTCCGCGTCCGCTGGTGGTAGCAAGCCGGACGATCTCCCGTTGCCGCCCTATGGCCCTTCGGCGTCCTCTAAGCTCGTCAACCGGCGTGGTGGTGCCGGCGCGGACGACGGCGTGGGGGGCGGCAGCGGCAAGATGGACCGGCGGCTGTCCACGGCGCGCGTGCCGGCGCCGTCCAAGTCGCTGCTTGTGCGGAGCCAGACCGGGGACTTCGACCACAACCGGTGGCTGTTCGAGACCAAGGGCACGTACGGCATCGGGAACGCGTACTGGCCGCAGGACAGCAACGCGTATGCCGACGACGAGGACGGCGGCGTGGGCAGCGGTCCCGTCAAGATGGAGGACCTCGTTGACAAGCCGTGGAAGCCGCTTAGCCGAAAGGTGCCCATCCCTCCCGGCATTCTTAGCCCCTACAGGTTCGGTCGTATCCTCAGTAAAATCAATGGCGCGTAATGGAATGGAAGCAGTTGCTCCTGATTTTCATGGATGGATGGATCCGCGCTGCAGGCTGCTGGTGCTGGTGCGGTTCATCTCGCTGTTCCTGTTCCTGATCTGGCGTGTGACGAACCCCAACCTGGACGCGCTATGGCTGTGGGGGATCTCCATCGTGTGCGAGTTCTGGTTCGCCTTCTCGTGGCTGCTGGACCAGATGCCAAAGCTGAATCCGATAAACCGTGCCGTCGAACTCAGCGCGCTCCGGGAGAAGTTCGAGTCCGCGACGCCGTCCAACCCCACCGGCCGGTCCGACCTCCCCGGGCTCGACGTCTTCATCTCCACCGCGGACCCCTACAAGGAGCCGCCCTTCACCACGGCCAACTCGCTGCTCTCCATCCTCGGCACGGAGTACCCCGTGGAGAAGCTCTTCGTCTACATCTCGGACGACGGCGGCGCGCTGCTGACCTTCGAAGCCATGGCGGAGGCCTGCGAGTTCGCCAAGGTTTGGGTGCCCTTCTGCCGCAAGCACTCGATCGAGCCACGCAACCCGGACGCGTACTTCAACCAGAAGGGCGACCCCACCAAGGGCAAGAAGCGGCCGGACTTTGTCAAGGACCGCCGGTGGATTAAGCGCGAGTACGACGAGTTCAAGGTCCGCATCAACGGCCTCGCCGACCTCGTCCGCCGGCGTGCCAACGCAATGAATGCTCGCGAGCGTAAGATCGCCCGCGACAAGGCTGCTGCTGCCTCCTCTGATGCCCCAGTCGCCGACGCCCCCACCGTCAAGGCCACCTGGATGGCGGACGGCACCCACTGGCCCGGCACCTGGCTCGACTCCGCCCCTGACCACGGCAAGGGCGACCACGCAAGCATCGTGCAGGTACAGCCAGCAGAAGTACTGTATTAGGTTCAAACCTCCCTTTTACACACACAGCCTTCGATCGATGTCTTGATTTTGAACTGTCGATCAGGTGATGATCAAGAACCCGCACTACGACGTGGTGCACGGCGACGCCGGGTCGCACCCATACTTGGACTTCACCGGCGTGGACGTGCGCATCCCGATGTTCGTGTACCTCTCGCGGGAGAAGCGTCCGGGGTACGACCACAACAAGAAGGCGGGCGCCATGAACGCCATGGTGCGCGCGTCGGCGATCCTCTCCAATGGGCCCTTCATGCTCAACTTCGACTGCGACCACTACATCTATAACTGCATGGCCATCCGCGAGGCCATGTGCTACATGCTTGACCGTGGCGGTGACCGCATATGCTACATCCAGTTCCCGCAGCGCTTCGAGGGCATCGACCCCTCCGACCGCTACGCCAACCACAACACCGTCTTCTTCGACGGCAACATGCGCGCGCTCGACGGCCTCCAGGGCCCCATGTACGTCGGCACCGGCTGCCTCTTCCGGCGGTACGCCGTCTACGGCTTCAATCCGCCGCGCACCAACGAGTACCGCGGCATCTACGGCCAGGTCAAGGTGCCCATCGACCCGCACGGTCACTCTGGACCCGGCGCCGCCGAGGAGCTCCGCCCGCTGTCGGTGCACCCGGACCACGAGGCGCCGCAGCGGTTCGGCAAGTCCAAGATGTTCATCGAGACCATCGCCGTGGCCGAGTACCAGGGCCGGCCGCTGCAGGACCACCCCTCGGTCCAGAACGGGCGGCCGCCGGGCGCGCTGCTGATGCCGCGCCCGCCGCTGGACGCGGCCACCGTGGCGGAGTCCGTGGCGGTGATCTCGTGCTGGTACGAGGACGGCACCGAGTGGGGACTGCGTGTGGGGTGGATCTACGGCTCCGTGACGGAGGACGTGGTGACCGGGTACCGCATGCACAACCGCGGGTGGCGCTCCGTGTACTGCATCACCCGGCGCGACGCGTTCCGCGGCACGGCACCCATCAACCTCACCGACCGGCTCCACCAGGTCCTCCGGTGGGCGACGGGGTCCGTGGAGATCTTCTTCTCCAAGAACAACGCGCTGCTGGCCTCCCAGCGGCTCAAGTTCCTGCAGCGCCTATCGTACCTCAACGTCGGCATCTACCCGTTCACCTCCCTCTTCCTCATCATGTACTGCCTCCTGCCGGCGCTGTCCCTCTTCTCCGGCCAGTTCATCGTGGCGACGCTGGACCCGACATTCCTGTGCTACCTCCTGCTCATCACCATCACGCTGATGCTGCTGTGCCTGCTGGAGGTGAAGTGGTCCGGTATCGGCCTTGAGGAGTGGTGGCGCAACGAGCAGTTCTGGGTGATCGGCGGCACGTCGGCGCACCTGGCGGCCGTGCTGCAGGGCTTGCTGAAGGTGATCGCGGGCATCGAGATCTCCTTCACGCTGACGGCCAAGGCGGCGGCGGACGACGACGATGACCCCTTCGCGGAGCTGTACCTCGTGAAGTGGACGTCGCTCTTTATCCCACCGTTGGCAGTGATCGGGATCAATATCATCGCGCTCGTCGTCGGCGTGTCCCGCACTGTGTACGCGGAGATCCCGCAGTACAGCAAGCTGCTGGGCGGCGGGTTCTTCAGCTTCTGGGTGCTGGCGCACTACTACCCGTTCGCCAAGGGGCTCATGGGCCGCCGCGGACGCACGCCGACCCTCGTCTACGTATGGGCGGGGCTCATCTCCATCACCGTCTCCCTGCTCTGGATCACCATCAGCCCGCCCGACGACAGGATCACCCAGGGCGGAGTCGACGTGTGATCATCCAAGCTTCACAGGAGGGCCAACCAATGAGAGATTACCAAAGAAAGCATCACTGAAATTTTCTGGATCATCTGACTAGCTTTTGTACTGTTGCGTCATTTGTTCCAGGAACCAGGATGCAACTATGTACTACCACTAATTAATTACTGAACTATATGCCGTACGAACCAAGTAGTGTCTGTGTTAATCAAGGATGTTAGCTAGGCAAAGAGTCCATTCTGTACCTGTAGAGGCCTAGTGTACCAATAAACAGATAGTTTGATGGACACTAGCTGTATAAGGATTTTCAATAAACCGTATTTTTCTCTCATAATAAATTAACATAAGCCAAATTTCGGTGAAACCAACGGAGCCGGTGAAATTGTCCCTTTCTCCAATGAAACTGTAACTGATTGACACATAAACTAAGTCACCTGTACGCTTCAGCTGGCGGAAATGAAAGGCGCATCTGCTGTGTGCCAGACAGGTTACTCGGGGGCGACTCATCTCTGCCGCCGAAGGCACCCCACTATGGGCCAGCTTCCCGGCCGCTACCGCCGCTCTCCAACTTGCAGCGGTGGCGCTCAACAAGGCTTCCGTCCGCAGCATCTTTCACCCCTTCTTTCTCTCCTTCCCATCTCCTTCTTCGTACAGAGCTCTGGAATTCCGACGAGGGAGATGGCCGGCGACGAGCCAGATCTGTGTCCTTTGGGGACAGATCAGGTGCCTTCCACACCAGATCTGGCGTCCTCGTTCCTAGCTGCTCTCTGAGATGGACGGCGGCGTGGGGGAGAGGACGGAGCAGTGGGCGGTGGCGATGACGACGTGTGCATGCGGGGCGCCCACGGCGGGCGTGGGGCTGGTGGGTGTCGGCGTGCCCGTTGGCCTCGTCCTGTTCGCAGCATCTCTGCCGGGAGGGCCGCTGCGGCGCCGTGACGCGCCAAGAGAGAGGTGTCACCGCGCCCAATGCTGCGCGCCTCGCACCGGCAGGTTCGTTGCTGACGCGCCAAGATGTCTACCGGCGTGTCAGGGACTGCCCATGGTTGGGCCTTCATATGGTCCGTGTGCATGGGCCTCGAGCAAGAGCGCAGGGCAGCAATGGGTGAGGGTATCGAATATTCAGAAGAACAGAACCCCTCTCCTCTCAAGTCTATTATTCATCTTCTATCTCGAGTCTTTTCTTTCTGTATCCGGATTTCCTTCCTCCAGGTCTTCTAGATCCTTCTAGTATCTTCCTCCTAGCACCTTATTCCCCTGCTTGTTGATTCCGACCTCCCTTTTCCCGAGGTCATGTACTTTTCTTCCTGAATCAAGTTATCTGTGAACCAATCTAGAAGAGTTGCTAACAAATTGGTACTCGGAGCTAAATCCTGCAGCACCACGAAATCCACCACCGCTACTCCATGGGTCCTCTCAACTACCAGTTGCTCCTGGCCGAGATTCGCACGATGCACAAGGAGTTGGAGTCTCAGTTTGACGGGCTCCGACAGTCCTTCAACGAGCTAGCCTCCTGGGGCGTCACCGTTCCGACCCAGTCTGCTGCCCTCGGAGCCGACGTAGTCGCCGACAACTGGGGCGGCCTCTTCAACAAAGGCGATGACTCCGACGAGCAGCACTGCGGGGCTGAAAGCTCTAGTTTGGTTTTGGTTAATTGATGAAACCCTAAATGCTAACCTAGTTTATCAAAGTGATTATGAGATAGGGAGCACTACTCCAAGTGATGAAGCAATGGCGAAGATCATGACGACCGTGATGGCATGGTGATGATCAAATGCTTAAACTTGGAAAAAAAGAAAGAGAAAAACAAAAGGCTCAAGGCAAAGGTATAAATTATAGGAGCTATTTTGTTTTAGTGATCGAGACACTTAGCGAGTGTGATCACATTTAGAATTGATAGCCGTACTATTAAGAGGGGTGAAACTCGTATCGTAATGCGGTTATCAAAATGCCACTAGATGCTCTAACTCATTGCATATGCATTTAGGATCTAGTGAAATGCTAACACCCTTGAAAATGATTTGTGAAAATATGCTAACACATGTGCACAAGGTGATACACTTGATGGTTGGCACATTTGATCAAGGGTGGTGAAGTTTAGGTGCAAGGGTAAGAAACTCCACCGGCGCCCTAAACAGAAAAGACGGAGGTCACTGAAAGTGACCGGACGCTGGCCTCGGTTGGACCGGCATGTTCGGTCAGGTGTAACAACGAAGACGCTGGCGTCAGTCAAATGACCAGACGCTAGGTCGCTCTGCGACCAGACGTTGGCAGGGTGCGTCCGATCAGTGCTGACGTATGCTGACGTGAGGCGCACAGAGGAGACGTTGAGTGAGCGGACGCTGGGTGTGTCCGGACCGGACGCGTCCGGTAGTGAAAATTCGCGTTTGGAACCTTAATGGAAACGACCGGACGTTGAGGTCCAGCGTTCGATCACTTTCTAACGGACGCGTCCGGTCATCACTTAACCGTTGAAATCGGGCGATCGACGTTTGAAGCCAATGACACGTGGCGCACATCGCACGACCGGACGCTGAGGTCCAGCGTCCGGTCAATATGACCGGAGCATCCGGTCGCCCCGTGTTCAGTGCAGTGAGGAGCCCAACGACTCTATTTCGTGGGGGCTTCTATTTAAGCCCCATGGCCGGCTCAAGCTCACCCTCTTGGCCATTTGCATTGATATAGCAACCTTGTGAGCCTAGCCAAAGCCTTCCCACTCATCTCCATCATTGATCCATCATCATTGTGAGATTGGGAGAGAATCCAAGTGTATTGCTTGAGTGATTGCATCTAGAGGCACTTGGCATTCGTGTTTCGCTGCGGGATTCACTTGTTACTCTTGGTGGTTGCCGCCACCTAGATGGCTTGGAGCAGCGAGGATCGTTGAGCGGAGGTTGGTGATTGTCTCCGGCTCCGATCGTGGTAATTGTGAGGGGTGTTGTGCCTTCCCCGGTGGAGCGCCGAAAGGTAACTCTAGTGGATTGCTCATGTCATTGAGTTACCTCACTTGTGGGTAGGTTCTTGTGGTGTCGTATCATGTGGATGAGGTTCGTGCAACACCTCTTAGCCGCCGAACCACCAAGTGTTGGTCGACACAACGGGGACTAGCGTGCCGGCAAGCACGTGAACCTCGGGAGAAAAAATAGGTTGTCTCTTACCCTTTGGAATTCTCCCGGTGATTGATTTAGTATTCATATTATGATTGGTTCACTCCTCTACACGACGGTATAATCACCCTACTCACTCATTTATATTCTTGAAAACTAGTTGTGACAAGCTCTTTAGTGTAATTAGAATTGAGAGCTTGCTTTGTTAGTTTAAGTTCATCTAGTGGAGCTCTTTAGAGTAGCTTTTTGAGAGCTCTTAGTGAGTTGTAACATTGCAAGTTGTGTGCCTAGTAATCATTGTAATTAGAATTGTTGGATAGGTGGCTTGCAACCCTTGTAGAGCTAGAGCAAGTTTGCATTTCGCTATTTATCATACTAATCAAATTGCTCTAGTTGATTTGTAGATTTTGAAATAGGCTATTCACCCCCCTCTAGCCATATTAGGACCTTTCAAGTGGTATCAGAGCCGTGGTCCCCGTTTGATTAAAGGCTTAACAACCTCGGTGTCAAATTATGGCTCAAGTTGTGTTCAACCATGTGGGGGCAAACCACCGTTTTTTGATGGCACATGCTATGATTATTGGAAGAGAAAGATGAGGATGTATCTTGGTTCAATCAATGATCAAGTATGGGAAGTGACCGAGAATGACTATACTATCATTGATCCCGATGATCCCATAAACCAAGATAAGATCGACAAGCAATGCAATACAATGGCTCTCAACACCATATATAATGCCATTGATTCCAAGGTGTTTGAGCAAATTAAGGATTGTGAAAGAGCAAATGAGGTGCGGAAGAGATTGGAGGAAACATATGAGGGCACACCGGCGGTGAAGAGTGCCAAGTTGTATATCCTCAAGGATAAATTGACAAGCTTCAAGATAAAGGAAGATGAGAGCATTCCGGAGATGTTCCATCATTTGCAAGTGATTGTCAATGATTTGAAGGCATTGGGAGAGAAGATCAAGGATGATGATGTCTCTCATTGGTTCTTAATGTGCCTACCTCCAAGATTTGAGATGTTGAGATTGCTTATCATAAGAGGAGGATTGAAGGATATTACCCCCAACCAAGTACTAGGTGATGTCATGACCCAAGAGACATACCGTGTGGAAAGGGAGGGGGATGACAAGAAGGAAGAAGAAGACAAGAAGAAAAAGAGTATAGCATTCAAGGCTAGTTCATCATCATCCAAGAACAAGGGCAAGTCCAAGAAAAAATCAAGTGATGATGATGATCTTAGTGATATTGATGATAAAGCTATGGCCCTTTTTGTCCGCAAGATGGGAAAATTCATGAAGAAGAAGGGCTATGGTGCAAGAAAGAGAAGAGATCACACCAAAAGCAAAGAATATGTGAGAAGATGCTACAATTGCAAGAGCCCCGATCATATTGTAGCAAATTATCCCTACAATAGTGACAATGATGTGGATGAGAAGAAGAAGCTCAAAAAGGATAAGAAAGAAAAGAAGGAGAAGAAGAAGAAGAGAATGACATTCCAAAAGAAGAAGAAAGGTGGAGGCTATGTGGTCACATGGGATAGTAATGGCTCTAGTGATGATGAAAAGAAATCTATCAAGAGAGGACTAGCAAGCATCGCCATCAACGACAAGCTCTCCATCTTTGACACTCCATCGACATGCCTCATGGCAAAGCCTACCAAGGTAAAATATGATGTGAATGATGACGATGAATGTGAAAGTGATACTTGTAGGAATGATGATAATGATGATGATGAGGATGAGGAGTACACCAAGGAAGAACTCTTGGACATGTGTGAGCAAGTGCACGCTTGCAATGAGATGAAGAGAAAGGAGTGCAAAGAATTACGCAAGAAGATAAAATTTCTTGAGCAATCATTTGATGAGCTCAATGCCACTCATGAGAGGCTAATGGAAGCCTATGAGAAGC